CCGTTGGTGTCGATCATCGGCATCAGGCTGACGAGGTCGGGGTCCTCGCCGGCGCCCCAGTCGGTCTGGGAGCGGGGCGGCGGGACGGGGCCCCTCGGCTCGAAGTCCTCGGTGCGCGCGGGGCCCCAGACGCCGCCGTCGACCCCGACCTCGGCGTCGACGGCGGCGGCGAAGGCCGCGTACGACCCGCCGTGCAGCTGCGGGATGTAGAAGCGGCCGTTGCGCTCCCAGAGGTTGCGGCGGGGCTGGGCGCGGGCCCAGGCGGCGGCGCGCTCCAGCGTGGCGTGCGCGTGGCCCGTCAGGCGCAGGTCCATCTCGAGCTGCCAGACGTGGGCGAAGCGCGGGAACCGGTGGGCGAAGATCTGCAGCGCCTGGTACATCTGGTCCTGGGCGCCGTGCTCCTCGACCTTGGGGTACCAGCGCTCGAGCACGCGGTTGTTGTACAGCAGCGCCATGTCGCGGAACTCGTCGGGCACGGTCTCGCGCAGCGCCCGCTCGTAGGCCGCCTCGTCCGTGTCGAGCGGGATCGATCCGTCCTTCACGTTCACCAGCAGGAACACCTCGTACGCGCCGCCCGAGTGCAGCGCCGTCTCGGCAATCAGCGCCCGCAGCCACGCCCGCCGCGGCTCGCTGTAGTTGTAGTTGTCCCAGGTGCGCAGCACGATCGCCGTCCGCCCCGGCTCGCCCCCGGCCGCCGACGTCGTCGTGTCTATCTTCCAGCTCTCCGGCAGCTGATGCCAGATGCCCCCAAACTCATTCTTGACTTCCGGTTTGTTGTTCCTTGCGGCGCAACTTCTCTGCACGTCGCCTTAAAAAAACAAGGTTGGAAACCCGCTACGTTAGCTGCCTACTCGTCTGCCATGCATACCCTCGACGGGAGTAGGATGACCTGAAGCAGTACTCACCCCATCGGACTTCGTCCCAGTTGCGGCCTTCTGTTGCCTGGTACTGCCCGAGCCGGCGACCGGCTAAGAGGCACCGGTCCGGGTCACCTATAAAGGCGGCATCGCCCAATACCGGTCGGGTTTTTGTTTTGACGGTATTATAAAGCAAACGAGCCGGATTCGAGTCTTCCCAATCCGGCCATATGTGGCAGGGAGTGTCGAGCTTCGAACCGAGCGGCCCTGCCAGCGCAGAGGGCTCGTAAGAGTGATAAAAGGTAAGAACGAGGACGAAGCAAATGAAGGTGCTCAAGACCACCCTCCGGGATGCAAGGAGCTGCCGCATATTCCTTCTTCGGCGCTTGGCAAGCTGTCGGAGTACCTAGGCATTCGTCCCCGTGAAGCCTGTAAGGAGGTCGAAGACATGCTGATGGTGGTGGTTTCTAGGGATGCAAGGCCTAAATAGGTAGCGACACGGCTGGTTCCAGTTATTACGAATAGCCCTGGTCAGCGTCATCTCACTAACAAAGTCGGGACGCCAAGATGGATCGGCGCATGGCCGTCCTGCCGGATGGATGTCGGCACCCCCCAGTAAGATGAGAGGGTGTGTGGGCGCATTACGTACTTAGTATGTCGTACTCTTGCCTCTATACTTAGCTATAAGTAGGTACTATGTATTGGATGTACCGTGTTGGATGTACCCAAGCCTGTAAGGATCCGTTAGCTGTGAAGTTCCTGTTCCAATCCATGAAGTCTCAGACGTGAGACTTTTTCCCAACCAACCGTTTAATCAATTACTACCCCAGTACCCCGAGGCCTAATGTCTTGCATTCAGCTGAGACTTATGACCCGACGGTTCACTCAATTCAACCTGCCAGTTTTCCAGCCGTCTCCTTAAATTGCTTCCCTATCTGGCCGATCTTGTTGCCCCATCTTATGGCTTCGCCTATACTTCTGATTCGCCTCTGGGAGGTCCTGAAGGACGCGAAGGATTTAGCTACTGGACCCGTCCCGTTTATTAGCGACTGCCGGCAACGCGGCTTATGCTCGTTGGGGTATAGTGAAACACACTTGGAAGGAATATATTTTCTTACTATGTAGGCAATATGTCCTGCAGATCCCGTCGTCACGTCGTCCTATGGGGTTTATCTTATTGATTGTGTACTACGTACGTACCTACATATGTTATGAAAAGGAGGTCCTTGCCGCGCACTTAACATCTTTCTTTTAAGCTTACTTTAAGTTTTAAGCTTTATCATGGTAAGCATTATAATTGGATAGCCACAACACTATGCCTTTTTTGCGATACCTACTTGTCGCACGTGTTCTAAGGGTAGTGCAGATGTTTACATGGTTGTGTAATGTCAAAGTGCCAGAATCATGTCATTTCCACATGCCATGGCCCATACACCAGGGCAGTCGTAATACTGTTAGACCACAACTTTAGACGAGATATTTCGGCATGGCAGGCTTATGGTATGCTATACTGAAGACTGGCATATACATATACATATGGACCAAACCATCGAACTTATCATTTAATAAGGCTAGGGATACCATAAACTCTTAAGAGACTTAAAGGATATGCTGCTAGTAGGTAGGCAACACTTATATATCATAAGAATAAAGTAAGCATATGACTTGATAGACTGGTGACACGTGAGGATTCATGAAATAGCAAGGCAAGCAACTTTAGACGCATCTTGGTAATGTGTCGTACAAGTATTGGTTTTCTTCGTACTACCCAATGTTCCAAAATTACGTAGCTGAGCGCCCATATCTGGCCTGGAACCACTTCGATAACCCCGTGCCAGAACCATGCACTTTTCTACTCTGTATGTCCAAGATCTTGGTATCAATTGCCCCCCAAATTCCTCCTCGTTCTCCTCTTCCGCCTTGACTTGCCGTGCCACCCCCTTGGCAGGTGTGTTGATTGTAGTATTTGCTTGCCTTATTCTATGACACGGTGCCCGTGCATAAGATCAAATAGATAGCTTCTTTGCTATGGTCTCGTAGTCGCCGAAAAGACGACTCTGAAGTATGGACCCTTTGCTTTGGTGATACCTCTGGGGAAGAACCCAAGTCAGCGGAGATACCACGAGATATTGCGATGCATGAGACTTACCTTGAGCTACGAGGTTGTATTGATGAATGGCAACGGTGAACTTGGTGTTTAAGGTAGGCAGGCTTGATGTTTGCGATACCTAGGTAGGCAGAAGGTGACAGGCTTGGATGGTTAGTGATAAGGCGATTGATAAACGAGAGATGTACATACCGTTGTGATGGCTCGGCATCATTACATCAAATATCATGTCAAAATCCAAGTCAACAAGTCACCGAGACAATGGCCACTACCCCCGGGTACAGACTGCCAGACTGACAGAAAGCCCCCAAGAAAGTCCTTTCCAGACCCAACTGTTCAACAAAAGTTTTCCTGGAAAGCATCAAACCAAATATGCCATGCAATATGCAGTGCCGAGACACGCTTGACTTATAAGCAGTAGATGGAGTCGCAACACGGTAGATCCAAATGCAGCCACGACATGCGTGACGCTGGAGTACCGGAAGCTTGCCTCAGTACTTCCTATTGAGAATGTTGGGACGTACCGGGACAAGGGAGATCCGCAGCTGCAGTTGCTATTGGGGGGCAGTAGACCATTGAAACGACGAGAAGTGATATGGGATGAGGGATGAATGTCTGTGTGTGTATGTATGTATGTATGTGTGTTTGTTTTGTTTTGTTTTGCTTTGGTTTGTTTATGGGTACCTAGGTAGGTAGGTAGGTAGGTAGGTAGGGTCGCTAGTTGGGGGGTAGGTAGGTATGGGCAATTGGAGTTGGAAATTTCCTAAGCGTTTAAGTGATTTAAACGTTTGAACGCACTAAACCATT